AAAAAGGATACACCAAGCTATAAGAATACACAATAGAAGAATCATGAGACAAAATTATGCATGTCGTGTCCTATAGACTTGTCACTCTCCACATAAGGAAGAATGTTAAACTGCCCACGAGGACCTGAACACAAACTGAGGCTCAACTCTTTTGTCCCAAGGTTGTAAACAAACAAAACCCCCTTCATATCTTGAAGGAACTTATCATTGTTCGAGAAGCCTCTCACGAAGTTAACAGCAGCACCAGTCACAATTTCGGACATTGCTCGAGTCCAACATGATTCACTATTATTCCATATCAATATTTCAAATTCAAAACGCGCGTCGGTAGTCACCAGAAGGTCACAAGATTTGTACACGAGAAAAGCGAGTGACCCATCTACCTCACCAAGAGAATAGTTCGACCAAAATGAAATTGTCTGGGGCAGATAAATCAGAGTATGGTTCAAGAACTCTTCCTTAGAAAAGTCGAATGCAAGAATGCCAGCAGATGTCACCCAATAATAAAATCCATTAACGTGAACACATTCCCTAGAGCTCGTGAACATCGTGAGATCGTGAACATCGTGAGATGAGAAGGACAGACAATTTCCTTCCAAGAATCGTTCTTCAGCGAGTACATCTCGGCTCGGGAGTTGTCGTTAACATCAAAACCATGCTCATCATAAAACTTGAAAAACCGTATCACCTTGTAATCCTGAGAAATCGGGTCGAACCCAAAAGCACAAGATTCGACGTAGATGCGTGCCGCAGGCGGGAGAGGAATGGATGATTCCGGAAGGGGTTTGACCTCATTGGTCGTCGGATTCCAAAGAGCAGACTCCAGCTCACCATCTGTACATGCGAACACCAAGGAATTGCAACTGTATTGTGGATGAAAAATATCAGCATCCTTCGAGAAGGAGAAATCAAGATCGATTTGCCGGTTTTGATGACGCTCATCGGCCGAGAGTATTAATCGAGAGTACTTAAATATGTCCAGGCACTCTCCATACTCAACCACGAACTTGTCAGCAGTAGTTTTATCGTCATCCATCTTGGTTTTATTGTCAAGTGCAGAAGTACACAAATTTGAGGACTTTGGGAGATTTTCGGTTTCTCTATGTGGAAGATGCATTGATGACAAGCTACTGTTGCAGCTTTTTGGAAGTCCTATTGGCACGTGGCTCTCGACATATGGGGCGACAATAGAACACCAAGGATGAACACAGATACGAGATATTTCAACTCTCTCTTCTTGCAATTAAAGAGCATCACCTGGCCATTATCATCCTGAAGAAACAACGTATCCTCGTTGAAGAGGCCCATTATCCTAGGGATAGTAACAGAGACAAGAAAAGCATCGGAAAGCACTTTAGTCCACGATTCATGATTCCACACCCGCAATTCAAATTTAAATTGTAATCCAAATTCCATTGGCAGGTTAACGTGAACAAGAGCAGCCAAGCAACCATTAAATTCCGCAAGACACAAATTGGAAGTTTGATCAATAGCAAAATCGCTTTGGGGCCGAGGAATTAGAGTATTCCTTAGCACAGTCGAACGAAATGATGCAAGGCTTAGATACTGCCACCCCATAATTAAAACGGACGTAAGATGCTGCCACCCAATAATTAAAACGATTTACGTGAACCGAATGGCTTTCACCGAGTGGAATAAATTCCAGGAGTCAGTTTTGAGTGAGTACAGCTCTACCGCAATACCCCTGTAGTTGATATACCTGAGGAATCGAATTACCTTATAGTCCTCGGTTGAAGGATCGAAACCAAAACCGTAAGTAATTGAGGCATCGGTGGCAGGAGGTCGGGGAACGGTGTATCGAGGAAGGCTCTTGACCTCGTCAGTGGTCGGGTTCCACAGAGCAGCACACCACGTAGAGGAGGAATAAAAGCCAAACGAAGCGAAGAATAGTTTATTGCAATAGCAACTGGGATAAAAATAGACGCTACGCTCGGTATTAGGGAAATGGAGCTGATTAATGGTGTACTTGTTAGAGATTCGAGCGTAAAATACGTCACCGCCGAGAGTACGCGAGGCCAAGAGGAACTCGTTACGATGTTGTCGGTGATGATCGCTCTTCTCCAAATCAGTCGCCGTCTGTGTATCATCGGAATCGGTGCCGGTGAACAAAGAGAACGTTCGCAAATTCGAGGACAAGCGAGATTTCTTAACCTTGGATTTGGATATGGATGAGCAATTAGCGAGCAATTTAGGGATGATTCCCGCCATGTTTGCAGCTGCGGCTTCAGTGTTTGTCTTTTGTGTATTTTTTTTTTTTTTCGTCTAACCTATGCTGGTCGAGAGAATGAAAAGTTTGGGCCTGATGTGGCTAAAGCCCAAATCTAGTTTATTGTCAGCTTACTATTTAGTTATGGGCCTTAGTAGTAAAAGCCCAAATAGCTTATGTCATTATAACCCACGTGGACATATGGGCCTGTGGCCACAAAAAGATGATGTACTTCTATACAACAATGCATCGTCTCTCCCCTAAACAAGTACGTCTAATTGTATTAAAGTAGTGAACGAATATTAATTAGTATAAAAATAGTTTTCAATATTAATAATTATTTTATTTTATGATATATAAAAATTTAATATATGATTTACTAGTGCATAGATCGATCGATGCAAGAATATATATTAAATGAGTCATTTTTATATGGCTTGTATGTTTAGGCAAAACGTTAACATGTTAATTAATATATTATTTTGTTAATACGTTACACTAATACAAATTTGATATTACATTATATATTTATTCATCGATACAAGAAAAATAAAAATTATATTTATTCTTGTTCACCATATAATAAGCAATTATTATTTTATTATAATATTTGTTGTCATATAATGTCATTATTATTATGTATTAAATTTATAAAAGTCGTCTTCTTCTTCTTAGTTTATGTAATGAAATTTAAAATAAAATTTTGTATATAAATGTTTACAAAATACACACATGTTTTTTAGAATTTAATTTTCTCATAATAATTTAAAATTTTGATTTAGCAAATTGCCAAATAATAAACTTTTACATAATCAAGAGATTTTTATAATTTGTACCCTGAGGCTTTATTAGTTTATTTAACATACTATGCAATATAAAAATGTATTTTACAATAAATTCATTATGGAAACAAATAAAAAAATTACCATGGTTGACAATAATATACAAATAAATCACATGTTGAAATTGTAGAGGATAGTTAGTATATTTTAATTTTCTTATCTAACTATTAGTAAAAGTGCTCCTATCCGATGTGGACTTTCTGATGTCTACGACTCCTATTGCTCCACAAACATTTTCAGGCAACAATATGGTTGTGCTCCGTTGTTCGTAGTACAATAAGTCGACTTCATGGTGGCGTAGGTCGGAGACCTCTGCTTCATAAAAATGACGAGACGATTGAGCAGCGGCGGGACAACGCTTCAATGACACACAACACTTCCATGGCAGCTTCTCAAGTGGTGGTGTTACGATGAAAAAAACTTCTTCTTTTCCGGTAAAGTGACAATTGTGCCCCCAACTTAAACGTCTTGTGGGCTGGCCCATTGTCTGCTTATTATTGTTCTTCTTGGGCCGGCCGAGCAAGTATTATGCAACCATTAATTCATATTGGCCTTTTGTTGGGCTCGTCCTGCACGACCGTACTCCATTTATATTTATTTTACGCGGTCTTAGACTCCAATAATTATTCCAACCGAATTTTCTATCAAAACTTGAAATAAAACATTCGTCAAAGTTTAATAAAAATTAATGAAGTAAACAGTGATATATATCAAACTACGACAACATGAGTACGAAAAGCACTACACATAAAAATAACATATGTGAGTTATGAAAACAATATTTATACAAATATAAATCGTACCTTCTTATTTTTATTTTGTATAGTATAATACTTCAACTTAAAAATGTGCATATTTATTGGAAAAAATATTTCTAGCACTGTTAGAAAGTGGCAATATAACAAATTTGTTATTACAAAATGATAAGAGGTAGCCCCGTTTATTTTTTAGCGTTTTGCTTTTAAAATAGCGTTTCCACATTTATAGCGGTTTGACTTTACAAATCCGCTGAAAAAATGTGTTTGGAAAAAAGCTTTTACACACAACTTTTTTTGTCCAACCGCTGAAATTAAAAACGCTGCATTTTGCAGCGTTTGAGATTAGCTTATCAATATTAAAAAACTAAAAAGTCTTCATTGCCCATTCTTTTTCTCTTGCGTTCCATTTTTCTTTCCATTTCCAAAACAAATTCACAAATTTGCTCGAACCCAAAAAAAATCATCTCTTCTGATGTACCCCTTCCGGTTGCTATTCACCGACCGCCGACCACCGCCTCCTCCTCCGCCAGCACATCCTACTCTTCTGCCGGCGCATCTCACTCTCTTGTCGAGAGCGAATTCCCTTCACACAGAGGTATTCTCTCTCACACTCTCTCTCTCACACACACACGCTCTCTCTCTTTATGTTCATCATCAATTTGAAAGGAATACGATATTTGGGATTACAGAGTAAACAAACTAACTGATAGTTTTAAATCTTAAATTTAGGGTTTACAGATTGTTGATTGATTTGGTAACAAGAATTTGATGTTTCATTTTTTCCCTCTTTTCTACAGCAATTTATGTTACATTTTGATATTGGAATATAAAACATGGGGGACTAAGGACAATAATGTGAGTATTCGGTTTCAAAATGGATCTTTTAGTCCAAATAGACAAAAAAATGAAAATATGTGAGTGTAAGTGTGACAGAGAGTCCTCTGCGTAGGGTGCCATCATGTTAATTCTTGATTATGATGTTCTATTTATTTAGAATGTTTTTATAACTCTAAACAACAATCACACAATGACCATTATTTATTTTCTGAAACATTTTTTTTTTTTTAAGATGATGATAATATAACTTTTATTATGTCATATTAGAATTGTATTGGAGCTATTAATGGTACACATATCGCGATAAATGTATCTGAATAGGATCAAATTCGTTACAAGGGAAGAAAAGGGATATCCACTACAAATGTTTTAGCAGTGTGTGATTTTGATTTGTTGTTCACATACGTTTTAACAGGATGGGAGGGATCAACACATGATTCTCGTATTTTCCTTGATACGATCAATGATCCAAATCTCAATTTTTCGAAACCTTCATCAGGTATCTTGTACTTATCATTTATATGTTGCGCTCGCACACACACACACTTTTTATATAATTTTATTCTCGTATAACTTGTGTACGTTTAGGTAAATATTACTTGGTTGACAAATGGTACCAGAAAGAGAAGGTTATTTAACGCCTTACACCAAGAGAATATATCATCAGTCTGAGTTTCGTAGTTCAAACCAGATGGGATCTCAAGAAGTTTTTACTCGAGCTCATTCATATTAAGAAGTTGCATTGAAAGGGCTTTTGGTGTTCTTAAGGCTCGATGGAAGATACTGCATAAAATGTCGAGTTATTCGTTAATGGATCAAAATAGAATCATTTGTTCATGTTTTGCACTTCATAATTATATTATAAGAAGCACAATTGGTGATTCGGGCTTTAGAGTTATTGATTCGAATCATGAATTCATTCCTCCTCTGTGTTCCACGATGTTGAAAATAATTCTGCACAAGGTGATGGGGAAATGAGGACTCGGGAGATGGCAAACGTTTGTAATGATATAGCTTCAAGTTTGATGGTATCCAGACGTTGTTCTTAGAGTATTTGTTTTTTTCTTTTCTTTTATCTTTTTTTTTTAATAATATCGAATACTGCAATTGAGCCACATTTATATTTTCCATTAGTATGACTTGTTGTTGGCTTTGTTTATATGACGTGAACTTATTTATTCAATTATGAAATATTTTTTATTTTATTATTATTTATATTTTTTTATCATATTTAAATCATTTTAATAAATATTTAAAATATTAACTATTTCTATTTCCTAAATAATTATAAGTTCAACATAAATTAGAATTATAAAGTATGTTGATGTCCTTATAAGTAATTTTACATGTTAACAGCTATTTAATAAAGCTAATTTTATCAAACACTTTTTTACAAACCGCTAACACGATCAGCTGGTCAAAACAGCTAATGCAATTTGTTGGTCAAAACAGCTAATACAATCAGCTAACAGTTACAGCTAACAGCTGATTACCAAACAAGGCCAATATAAGAATATGACATATAGTATTATTGTAATTCTAGCCCCCATTAATTTTCGAAGAAAAAAAACGTTGCTTTCTTTCCACATACAAAAAATTTCAAAAAAATTCTATAAACAGCCTAGTCTCGTCATCTCCATTTATCACACGAGAGGATACCCAAAGAGCTCTCTCTCTCTCTCTCTCTCTCTCTCTATCTCTCTCAGTATAATCACAGAACAGAGGCTAACCTAACCTCAACGCCATAGTTACGGACCCATCGCCTGTGAGAAAAGTTCCATTCCCCGCTCTATATCTATCGTTTTTTCTCCGTAGCGATTTCAAATAAAATTATATCTAGCATAAAGACTGGGGGTTTTGGACAATAATATTAAGTGTAAGAAAACGGGAATATAAGTGTATAAGGGCCTTTGAGTCATCTGCTTCACAGCTGTAATTCTTCTCAGATCTTGAATTGGATGCATTTTTCATCTGGGTTTGTTTTTTGGTGATAAATAAGCTGGCAATTTTTTATGTTTTGGTGATTTAGTGTTGTCTTGTTGCTTGTTTCAAGTCAAAGATCGAATCTTTATTGATTTTGCAGGTTTTCTCGTTCTTGCCGTTGATCTTTTTTCTTACAATCCGTTGAACAGATAGTGTCTTGTTAAAGTCCCCATTTGTTCAGGTATTGTTTCCTTTACTCAATCTGCATTAGATCGGAGTCTATTCTTTCTTAATTGATACTGAAGTTGAGGTAATTTACTCGTTTAAACTGAAAATCGCTTTAGTACTCTAGTGATCCAGCCTTACTTGCTAATAGATCCGCTGCTCTTTACTTGTAGTAGCTTGTCTCATAGTGGAGTTACTGAAAATGAAGTTGTGAAGAATTTTTTCAGCATAAATTAGTCGATTAAATATCGAATAACATATTTATTAACTGCAAATTATATCGGTTGAATCGCAATCGTGTGTGCAGAGGGAATGGAAATTGAAATGGGAAAGTTGTTCATTGGTGGGATTTCTTGGGAGACCAATGAAGAGCGTCTAAGGGAACATTTCGACGCTTTTGGTGAAGTCTTAGAAGCTGTGATTATGAGGGATCGGGTGACTGGCCGAGCTCGTGGTTTTGGATTTGTGGTCTTTTCCGATGCATCTGTTGCTGAAAGAGTTGCTAGGGAAAGGCATGTGATTGATGGCAGAACTGTAAGTTGTGCGCCCATTTATTTACTTATCGTCTTTTTATGCCCCAATCCTTTTTTGCTATTTGTGTGTTGAGTTCAGTTGGTGAATTCTTGTTTTTGTTGATCAAAATGGATTGTTGCTGATTGTTGAACAAACGTGTTAAAAATTGTGCGTTTGATATTTTCGGCGAGTGTTTGCACGTTTGCACTCACTAAAGTGAATTTAAAGGACTTTAAAGAGTGCATTAGATTTCTAATACTGCTTCTAATTTGTCTTTCGCAAAGAAACCAACACTATTCCCACTTATATTCAGCAGACACTCTCGTTTAGCTAATATAACATTTACGATCCATTAATTGCTGACAAGATAAACCTATTTATGATTCTAGTAACTTTTTTTTCAAGCTTGGATATATTATTAGCTTAGGAATCAAGAAACATAATGTTGAAAATGATGTCTCAACTAGCCTGATGCTCGTGCCTTCAAACATCAAGAAACAGAATGTTATTTATTCAAGAAACCAAATTTAACCTTAAAATTCTCTTATCTGCACTGTTAAGTAAAAAACAAAAAAAGTAGCATAAGCTAAATTTTAAAACTATCTTTCATCCATTAGGTGGAGGCGAAAAAGGCCGTCCCAAGAGACGATCACCAAACGCTCATCAAAAACAACAGCAGCAGCAGCTCACTCGGCTCACTCAGCCCAAACCGAACCAAAAAGATTTTCGTCGGGGGCCTCCCATCGACTATCACTGAGACCGACTTCAAGAAATATTTCAGTAGATTCGGGACAATAATAGACGTGGTCGTGATGTATGACCACAACACGCAGAGGCCGAGAGGCTTCGGGTTCATAACTTATGATTCCGAGGAATCAGTGGACAAGGTCTTGGTAAAAACATTTCACGAGCTTAATGGGAAAATGGTCGAGGTTAAGCGGGCCATCCCGAAAGAACTGTCTCCCGGGCCTGCTCGAAGCCCGTCGAGCGGGCTCTTCAACTCTTTTTCTCCGGGCCACAACAGCAGTTTGAATTCGACGAGAACAGCAGAAGGGCGTTTTAGTCATTTTGGTCGTGTCGGATACCCACCTTATAGTTCTGGTGGAAATCAGAGCATGGGATCAAATAGTGAGGATTCTTTTGGTTTGGGGTATAGAAATGAGATGATGGAATATTCATATTTCGGTGGGAATTCTGGTAAAAATGGTTCTTTCTCGAGTGCCCTTAACCGAGATGTGTGGGGGAATGTGAATTTAGGAGAAGTTTGGGGTGGGTCTTCTGTTTCTGCTAAAGGTAGGGAAAATTTTATATATGGTGGTGTGCAGGATAGCTATGGTGGGGTGACGGGTGGTCATACGAGGGACAATGGAGGTTTTTCTGATTCAGCATCATTATTTTCTAGTACAGGTAATGTTCGTGAGAAGGGCTTTGGGGATTTGTATGGGGGTGATTCTTTTTATTCGGATCATATTTGGCATTCATTGTCTCGGGAGTTTGAAGGGTCGGTCCCTTTTGGTTATGGACATGAGGAACGGGTGGCTAATGTTGTTGTACCAAACAATCCGGTTGGTTATGTTGGGGATTATCGTGTTACTAGCTCTAATAGAGGTAAGTTATTCATATAATTTAAAAAAAAAAAAATTTGCGCGCATTTCTTCCTCTTGTTCTTGGTTAAAATATCAACTTTCGGAAAATGTGAAAATGTTTTCTCAATAATGGAACTCTCACAAGAAGTTATTTTTTTTTCCAATCATCCAAGTTAAACGAAAAATACTGGATGCTTGGGGATAAATCAAACTAACATCTCGTATTTTTGAAACTTATTTATTGATCTATGCTGATTGAGTTGTTCCATTGCCGAAACAGGAATTGCAGCATAGGAAAAAGTACGTCATGGATGCATGAAGAATCGTACATACGAAGTGCAAAACCTTAAAAAACGAAAAAAAAAAAGAAAAAGAAAAAAGAAGGAGAAAAGATATGCGTTTATTCCTAGATAATATATTTAGTAGAGGCATTAGGGATTTATTACCATGAGCAACAGAAAAATGATTGAGTCTTTCGAAATGGGTTTTTTGTTTTCTTGTGATTTTTTTGTTTCAGCTGTGAACTCAAGTCACCATGCTGTATTTGATACGTTTGTCACTATATCATTATTCTTGATTGTATTTGGGACATTGAGGTTTAGTGAGCTTCCGAGGTTCTTGTCCGTGTCTCGGGTTTGCTTTCTCAGCAAACTGGGAGCTGACACGTGTCGGCAAACTGGGAGCCGGCATGTGTCTTGTACTTGGCTAAGCATTTAGCAACTGCAGTCTGCACATTGATTTTTACTTGAAAAAAGGTGGTTTTATGGACGTTGTTAGTTCATGAACTCAACACATGTTTGCATGAAGTGTTACATTGTTGTGATCTATAAAATGTGCTTTATGTATTGATGAAGACGAGACCGCCATTGCATATTTGAATAAATATGACCGTTTTCGGGTTTAGTCGGACTACGCTCTACATCATGTATGCAGAGACTTCATCTGGTTATGGTTATAGAGGTTGCTTTAAGTATTTATTTATATATATTTTAATGTTTGTATAGCTTCCAGAAAGAAGAATAGAACTGTAATCTGTTTGCAGCAGCACTTCTAAATATTACCATATGTAGCTAAAAACTGATGTCAGTGACTAACAAGTAACAACTAATGGTCAAAGCTTGTCTAACAACTAACAAGTCAAACCATTATAATTTTTTTTAATGAAAAATTATATTTATATTCTGAAATTTTACAAGTGAACAAAATAGTCATTTTATATACTTTAGTAGAGTACAAAATATTATAATATTTTTTTAATTCATATTATGTCATTATGGATAAGTTTATTTAATTGACAAAATACTTCTATTAATTTTCAATTAATATTGATATAGAATAACTTTTTATTATAAAGTCAAACATTTATTTATTTATACACTATGAATATTAAAATAGAACTCGTCGAGATATGATTAATTGAATTTATCATCATATGAAAATTTTATGACAAGAATGAGAGTTATTACCATTTAAAATATATTCATAGTTACTTCTATAATTTTAAAAGTCGGAATGGGCATTTATAGAATTTCAGATATATATGGAATATTTTGGAACATAACAAAGGACTAAGAAATCAGCAAATAGAAATACGAAAAACCAAAAGTTGAACCATATGCTCAGAAAACTCTTTATTTTATATTAAGTGATTTTTTAAAAATACAATATTTCATCTAAATTTTCATTTAAAAGACTCAATTTTCTCGAAAAATTGGAAAGTGATCNTCGAACAACACCTTCCCTTTTTACTCTGTTCGTCTCCACCTCCTTCTCCTCCTCCTTTCCCACTCTCATCATCGGCCTTCAAAACCACGGTTTTGCCATTAGCCAACCAGTCGGGTTCTTTCTGCTCAAGCTCCCGAGACTGCATAACTTTCCTACTCAAGATAATGTAAATCTCACCCACCACCATCTGAAAGGCTGCAGCCACATTTGACGAGTCAAGTGCCGAGGTCTCGATAAAGAACAAACCCTCTGTCTCGGCTAGGGCTTTTCCATCGGCAGTCGAGACCTCGCGCGCGTCTTTTAGGTCAGACTTATTTCCCACGAGTATCGTCACCACATTCATGTCCGAGTAAGCTGTTTTTCATTTTTTTTTCGTTTTAAACGAAAATGAGAAAAACGCTAATCAGTTTAGTTTAGAAACATGGGTTTTTGATGCTTAAAGTTAGTAGTTTAGAAAATGGGTTTTGAAAGAAAAAAAAAACCTCAATTTTCCACTTTTACGGTTGGGACTATTTTGTGGTATTTCGAAATAGTTGAGAGGTGTAATTGTACTAGTGATCACAGCAAATCCCATCTTACGAAAATTTGGAGAGGTTGTAGGCTAGGTTTGGTAAAACTAGCTCATAAGCTAGCTGATAGCTGATAAGTGATTTTCGAGCTTATACCTTATAACTTATGACTTATAGCTGAAAAGCTAGCTCATATGATAGAAGTGTTTGGTAAAATTAGCTAATAAGCTAGCTGAAATAAAAATTTTAACGAACTCATTTGAAAAAGCTACCCAAAGAACCTTATGATATAAGTTCGAGCTTTTTAAGAAAAACTCGTTTACCAAACGAAGCTTATAAGCTAACCAAATAAGCTATAAGAAAAACATAGTTCGGTCATACAAGACATAAAAACGTAACTATTTTCATGATTACCAAAAGAAATATCGAAGTGCTTACTTTGGAGCTCATTTAACCATCTCCCGATGCTCTCGAATGTCTGCCGCCTGCTGATGTCATACACCAAGAGGGCCCCCACAGCTCCTCTGTAATACGCTGATGTCACTGCCCGAAACCTCTCCTGTCCAGCAGTGTCCCATATCTGGGCTTTGACTTCCTTGCCGCTTATATTCATCTTTTGAGTTTGAAATTCGACCCCAATAGTTGATTTCGAATTGGGATAAAACTCGTCCCTTGCGAATCTCGATAGCAAGTTAGATTTACCGACAGCCGAGTCCCCAACCAACACAATCTTGAAAAGATAATCCTCTGTTTGTTCCTCCTCTGTATAGAAAGCCATTCTTTCTTCCTTTATTTTTCTTCTTTCTGAATATTTTAGTGTCACAAGCATATAATCATATTTGGTTTAGAAGGAAGCTTTAATGGAAGGTAAGGTATGTGGAAAAAATGAAGGTGTTAAGTGGAAGAAAGGAATATTTAACTAAAATTGGGGACACACAAAAAAACTATTTTTTATGTTTTATTCCTTATGCGGACATTCGTATCAAAAAGCTCGTTTTCTGTATTTGTTGTCTTCCACGTCTCGCCCCCTCGTTTGAACTGAAACAAATATAAATGGTACATGTAAATGCAACAATAGCTTGGTAAATTGCACTGACAAGCAAATACTTTCAGCCAAAAAACAAAATAAGCAAAAAAGGAAAAGAAAATAAAGAACTTGAAACAAAAAGGGAAAGGGAACTCGATTCTATACTTCACAGAAGAGAAAAAGAAAGAACTTGAAAGACAAGAACTTGTGAATATAACAGACAATGCTGATGTAACAAGCTTGTAAAATAATTACAGAAGAACAAACAATATATTTAAATGCTAGAAAAGAATTCAAATAATTTCAGCAAGAGAAGTATCATAACGAATCTGGCATCAACAATCGTACGAAAATTACACAAAGTATGATCTTCCATAAAGATGGAGGCATGTAATACGGTGTGATCTTGAGCTAATCGACACATTTGAACAGCTCCTTTAACTTTTCTCTATTACATATTATTACACACTCACATTCTAATATTCTACAGGCACTGAACCTAAAAAGAAGCCTTGATTAGTCTCTGACCCTCAATTATTTTCATCTA